CTGGCGCAGGGCATTTGAGATCTGCGGCGTTCTCTTCCTGGCCTCTGAATGTATTTCGGCACTTATCTTCTATCCCAAACCAGATGAAATGTACGAGGAGTTTCCCTCCGTGGAGGATGTTAACGCTAAAGAGCGTGGCAGCCAAGGCCTTGCCAATCGGCCACTAGTGGAGCCGAGAGCGGCCTCCGGCCGAGGCTGGGCTCTCTGCTCTTGGAGCCACCTTCGAGAGAATCGGCAGATTTTCCTTTGGGCACTGGAACGCCTACTGCACAACTTTGTCATGTACGGCCTTCTAATGAATCTCACTACTTATGTCACTGAGGCTCTAGACAATGAAATCAAACGCGGCTCCAAGATCAATCTGTACTTTGGGGCGGGTGAATCAGCCATCTTCACTGCAGGCGCTCTCATCGGTGATCGCATTAGGGGCTACCTGCCTCTGACCTACCTGGTGGGTGCTGTGCTGGCCGCGATGCTGTTGATGTTTGCTCAGACCTACTACAAGAACATCACTGCGGTGCTCATCATTGGGGGCTTTCTGGGCGCTGCGATCGGCTCCGCCAATACCTTCCTTTATGCCACCGCGGAGGAGGTGATGTTGGTGCACGGCTCTATTGCCTTCCCCATGACTAAGATGATTGCAGGCATCGGCATGTCGCTTGCACCGCTGCTCTCGGGCCTGATTATCGATCAGTCAGGTTTTCGCGGATTCTTCATCTCCATGACAGTATTGGTGTGCATCCGCGCTGTTCTGCTCCTTGGCATTAACATCATCCTCTGGCGTAAGAGGATTCAGCGCAGCCAACTGGCGGCGAAGACGGCTAAAGAGGCCGTAGAAACGACCCGCGTACAGCCGATAATAATAACGACAACGGAAGACGGTGAACATCGGCCCTGCGAGGCGGACTAGCGAGCGATTTTTTGGAAAGATTGCAGGTTGCTGTGGTTTTCCGGGTTTCCTAACGTTTATCCGGTCGTTTCGTGTCCTCCTTATGACCTCAATAATTATCCTTTAAGTGTTAACTATAAAATAAATCGGTTCATTTGCTGCGTCTGGGAAAATGTACTTCTAGCCTAGAATCATATTCACTGGAATAATTCACCTTTGACGTCAAAAACGCCATTTAACGACTTTGCAAAAGGCTCCAACTGTTTACGTTGGCCGCTGAAACTTGTGTTTTTTCAATAAACAAGAAGAAATTTTATCCTTTGACTCTGGGACGGGAATTCTATCCAAAATATTTCATAGCTTAAGGTTATCTCAGCACATATGGTTTCTCATGGTCTTTCATAACATGAATGAGGTCATATCTCCTGTGTCAGAATGACAGAAAATGGTCCCTTATAAATATTTATACGGAAATGTGCACTGCATATTGTGGTCTTAAGATAACTATAGTAGTTTTTGAATATGTAATCAGCCCTTTTACCGATTGTTGCATTTTGCAAACACCTGGGTTATGTGGCCTCTATCAGCACTCTCGTACAACATTTTTGCAATTGAATCACGAAAAATCTGGCAGCCCATTTTGTAAACCTGGGAAACATTTTAGTGGAGATCAAAACACCCGAAATACTATATGAAAAGTACATTTAATGGCATAGTTCGAATTCCCCACGTAAACATTTCAAACTGCCCTGTTATATGCGGTTTAACGATTATTTTAAACAGGACACGTTTTCTAAAAAACTTCCTATAGGACACATATCGTTTACTGATCCCTTATAAAAAATAAACTGATGCATACACAAACCGGTGCAAAGTCATCGATCACCTTTCCTTTTTCCTCTACAAAATCGTCTAGGGTGGCTGGGAGACTTCTTTACGAAAAGCCGTCATGTTACAAAATAGAAGGCAACTGGGAGCACATACGTGGCGTATCTCATGAAACGTTAGTCGAAATTCTGAAACGAGGTTTAGTCCAAAGAGGGTTGATTAGCGGAGGTTGTCATAATGAGCATTATGCAGCATAGGCGCAAAATATTTTAAACGCGACGAGATGCCGGCCGCCTGCGAAGATCACACCCGCTAACAAACTACTACATAATTAGTTCGAGTTTCTTCAGTCGATTCCCGCTTTCCTTATAAATTTGTTCTCATTTTCTAGAAAAAATTCTTGAAAATACACCTTATTACGCTCCTTTTTAACAATCTAGATTTTTCGACGTAATACTCGACGATACGTATCTTTCAGTTTTAAAAAGTTTGAAATTTTGAGGTTTTTAGGGCCGTAAAATGTATGTTAAGATAGCATCGTGTCTGTCGGTCTATTAGTACCCTCCATGAACTATGCGACATGGTCCATAGCCATCGCACAGTTTTATGAGCCATATAGGGTGTTTTTTAAATGACGCAGAAGAATGTGTGACTGTTCTTAAATATACGTCTTACAGTTTGGAAACCCCAAAGGCAAGTTAAACGGGAGGTCGGGTTAAAAAATTGTTCGGGAATTGAAAGCCACTTTTACAAGTGGAATTTAACCTTTCTTCGAGTATAAAATTTGGAGATATAATTTGCCATAAAATAAGCACAATAAAGGATATACTCGTGCATGTTTCCCGTAAAATATGTTTGGATTTATAGGGGCAGCAAAAATCCATGAAAAAATTCATATTACATGAACAGTTATTTGTTAGGAACTATGATTTTATAAGCGAAAGGGAAGGCGTGCATTCAAAGGTCGACATCTTGACGTGGCTGAAATATCTTGGGGTTATGCCGCCTGATAATAAATGGTACACTCCCACCCAGGTAATCCTTCTGAGTCAAAATCAAGCGTCAGAATTTCCCTCATTGTTTCATCTGATACGTCACCTACTATGGGTTCCGTTGGCACTGATGAGATGTGGTATCGCCCGCAAGTTTTGGATATGCGGTAGCAGATGGCATGTTCGATGGCGGGATCAGACCAAATGAATGCACTTTACAGAACGACGGCCTCCACAGTGTGCCCCACTGCAGGGTGGGCGCAGGCAAAGTGACTTGCGCGTGAACTGCGCCGCATCTACCGCACTCTCTCTCTCTCTCTTCTGCCTTGCCAACTTGAGTCGACAAAACCGGCGGCTGGATCGGTTGCAGTGGCTGGCTAGACAACTCGTCTGGGCGTGCCACACACGCCTGGTTCGTCCTCGATGGAACAGGTTTTCCAGCAACAGGAAAGGGACGGCCCGAATCCCAACTGAGTGGGAATGTCGTAGTGGACCACATCCAACAGGATCCACTGCATCCTAACTCGACGTCCTGATCGAACAACTAGGCAGCCGTTAGAGCTACGGCTTTCAGCGTGGCGTATTAGTTTAGAAGCTCGTCCGGCCGTTTGTGGTGTGAAATATGCGCTGGTTGCAATGGAGACGGAATCCCCAGAGTCGATCGAACTCTCTCTCTCTTGTCCCTCTCAGGCATCAGTCCCCTGTCCGAGACGGTCTGCCGTCTGATGCGGACATCGGGCAGTTAAATAACGACGTGTGGTCATCGGTTGGAAGTACTGCCACCAAAGACAGGGAGTCTGGAATGCACATTTTTGGTCTATTTTTGTCAGCAATCGGCCAATGAAACACCAAGAGGCTGCCTGAGATTTTACGGTAGCTTCTTCTGCTCCCCTCTTGGGTTTAATTACGCACTACACGTGTGCAATATTCCCCAGACTAGCTGTTAAGACCTGAGAAGGGTTAAAAGCGTGGCTTGGTTGATGGGCGTGGTAGCAACTAGCGTTTCATCCATGACAAACCTGGCGGGATGAGGAAAGCGCAAAAGGTCAGGACTGGTGATAATCTGACCTGCCACCTGAGTAAGTCCCCAGCTAGACGATGGTCTTGGTTTTTCTGAAATTGACCAACGTTTTATTGGGTCAGAGGCCTCGACAAAGTCTATAAAGTCAGCCCTCACATCTTAGTGACTATTCAACCTCCTTCTTAGTGAAGATGTTCCTGCGTCACGATCATCCTTTGGCTCGAGGCATACCAAATGCAGACTATCGGCCTTCTTGTCAGCTAGGGAATTAGCAAAAACGCCCCTAGGTACTTTTTTCAGCTGGGCTTCATACTTCCTTCTTCCGTCGAGCAAAAAATTAGAAGGCATAATTTTCTACCAAATGAGCAAAAAATGAATATTTTTATGCATGCTTTCCATGAAGTTCAATTGCACTTTTAAGGGCATCGAAAATCAATGAGAAAAATTCATTCTACCTAAGTAGTCATTCTTTACAGAGTATGATTTCTGCATGCGGCCGGAAAGAAGTCCATTCAAAAGCCGGCATCCTGAATTATTATGGAATTACGCTGCACGATGATTCATTTTACAACCCTACTTGTGTAATCTTTTTGAAACGAAAACGCATTTCAGAATGTTGGTTAACATTTAATGAGTTAGCAGACCTACTGCAGTATTTGCAGATAAGGCGGCGCCGACAGAAACAAGGCAGGCAGGAATGGCCATTTCCGGTTTATTAGCCATCATCAGCCCGTCATAGCCAACCTCAGGTGTGGATCACCGGACATTCGAAACCGGAATCTTTGGTCATTGAGTGGGACAGTGCTCGGGGTAGGTTTGGTTTAGGCCTAGGATGGGAAGGAATGGGAACCCCCTGAGATCGAGCATAAGGCTGCCTGTAATACGGCACTGCTTATTCGCAAAATTATTTTTGGCAGTCATTAAACCCGTGAACTTCTGCAGTAAAACGATACTAGTCCACAGGTGTTCGGCAGATTTCAAACAATTCACCTTGGTTAAACTGTGAAAAACTCGGTGCCTCGGTAGGATTCGAACCCGCGACAGCAAGGGGAGGCTTTAGTACAGCCAACGATCTAACCATCTGAGCTACGAGGCCTCGGCGAACGACGCCTCCCCTTGCTGCCGAGAGTTCGAATCCCACCAAGGCGCCGAGTTCTTCACAGTTGGGTTAAGGTAGACAGCATTCCAGTTTAATCGTGTTTATTAATTAAGCAAAAAATACTTCAAATGTTACTGGGGTGAAAATTATCAGGCGTACCATGACGCCCTCTTTTTTGCCTATTCTAATCATGTGAAATCTGCAAAGACACCTAGAGTTGAAGAGGAGGAACGACCGCGATGTCTTTTTGCACAAAATAACGTCGTATTTCAGTCTAAGGCCATTTGCTTTCTTCAATACAGACCACTCACAAAACATACCTGATCTGTTAACTTGTATGATTGATTTTCATGGTTCCCTCCCAATAGTCATCGTGATCTGGAATATTATTAGCAACATCTGAAAACTTTTTATGGTTTCAGGCGCGATACAGTCCAAAGACAGTTTTGTTTTTCAAGTTCGACCTCATCACTCATTTCCAAGGTCAAATTATTAAATCTAAATGTGGTAAAACAGTTTTAACTTATTTCACTTTTAATTCTCGCCAGCCATCGAAAAAAGAACTGTATTGCTCGTTCACTGATAAATATCGCTCCAAATTCATTACTCACTGAACATGCGACCAAATGGTTTTCATCAGTCGCTTCGAGGATCTAATTCTCTGATCTTCCTCTACTCAGCGTCTTCAGAATTTTAATGGCTTTCATATTCACCATCAGCACCGAGAATTTCGTATCAGGGACAAGAAATTCGAACTGAATATTTCCAAACATCTGCAGTAGTACGATAAAAGAGGTTTGATTAATCACTCTCACATATGCTAGTTACATCAAAATTTTGAGAAATTAGGCGAGCTTTTCTCATTCCCAACCTTCAGAGCTTAGAGTCTTGGCGTCTTCCTTGTCGCTGGGGGCTCTTTTTGATGTTGGCTCACGCCTGGGTTAACCATGAGTCGGCCAATCAGTTGTTGATTTGAAGCCACAACACCCAGGCCCGTGGGTAGGTTCCCTGGTTTTATTAAGGTAATGAATAAAAAGATATGGGCAAGTCGATAATTATGCTGTAGCTCGGTTTTGGGGAG